GGGGGGGGGGGGGGGAATACCAGATGAGTGTCTCCGCCTTTGGGCATCCCAGCGTGGCGAGCCGGAGGGCCAGCAAGTCCATGTCATATAAGTAAGAGTGCCTGACAGCAGAAGAGACCCACACAACCATAACGCCTCTCTCTCTCTCTCTCTCTCTCAGGTTGGTAGTACCAAGCGGCGTTTCTGCCGGTGCGTGTGTAGATGGTGGCCTCCTGGAACACATCAGGCCCATTGCGGCGCCACATGCCGCACGTCACCACCTGACACACACACAGACAGACACACAGACACAGACACACGTGTTGGCGTCAGAAAGACACCTCAGCGGCACTGTGGAGCCACCACCCCACCCCGACCGACCTGGTGGTGGAAGACCAGGGCTTGGATGGCTCCATCGACCGCCAGCAGGAGAGCCGACGAGGGCGACACGAACATGTGCTCAGGCCTCTCCGCCTCACCACGCACACAGCACAGACACCGGAACCCCGTGTGGGCCTGCATGCATAAGACCACACACACACACGGGACCAGATCGCTCGCTCGAAGAGCGGTAGAGAGAGGGAGAGAGGGGGCGGGTGTGGTGGGGTGCATGAGGGAGAGGGGAGGGGGAGCGTACGATCATGTCATAGATGGCGGTGCCGGTTTGCGATGCGGTGGCGTAGAGGAGGTAGGCCGTCAGGCGGGACAGCGGGTGGTGGAACGACACACTGTCACGCGACACCTGCAGGCACAAAGGCGAGAGACATGAGAGCTAGCCATAAGTGAGTGCAGTGCCTGTCGTTACCCTACCTTGAAGTGCCGGTTGACAACGCACGCCCACGAGTCTTTGCCGCCGCGCTCCTCAGCCTCACTCAGCACATCCCCATCTGCACACAACACACCCCGCCCCGCCCAGGGGTCGTGTCGTGTGGACCATGTGGCGTGGGTGGCGGGTGCACTGCTCACTCCATCCGTCGCCTTTGATGTCGACAATGTCCCGCTGCCCCTCCTTGGGTGCCTTGAAGAACTTTGTGCTCGACAGGTGGACCTCCATACGGCCCCAACACGCACGCAGCAACGCATACCTGACACACGCACACACACACACACACACGGATGGATGTGGTCAGCAGAGCAGAGCAGCTCGGGCCCCCTTCTGCTCTCTCTGTCCAGCCTGACTGACCACGTCTCGCCCTCCAGACGGCCCTCAGGTTCTGACATGGCCACCCGAACACACGCCCACGCACCCACACACGATGAGAGGGAGATGGTGAGGGTGAGGAACAACCTCGGTGCCTCGGTACCGAGCTTGCTGCCTTTGAGCGTGCCGTTTCTTACTTACCGTGGTTGCTCCATCTGTAGAGGATGGGGTAGAGCGTGGACGCGATCTGCTCCTCAAACAACAGAGCGTTCGACCACTGCGGGTTGTCGTACTCTATGTGTCTGCAGACAGACAGACCATCACACCACACCGACACACAACCACACACATCACTTAAGAGGACACGACCCACGCACTGGCCTTGCCCACCGGTCGGTCTTGCGTGTGTGTGGGTTGATCCCCTCTGCGCGTTGGACGGCCTCGAGCCACCCGTTGTCCCACATCTGCAGCCGCATGTGTGGGGTCCGGATGACCTGGTCCAGCAGCAGCGGGTGGTCGTTGAGCAGCTTGAGGGTGCTCAGGCTGTGGACGTACAGACGCAGCCGGAAGATCGGGTGGTTCATCTGCAGACACACAGACACTCATGCACACACACACGTGGAGGATGGGTGTCTGGTGGTTATCTTGATCGACGCTACGCACATCGAGCCGTTCGCAGCCGGCGTCTGGGGTGATGGTGGCCCTGTCAAGCAGCCCAAAGAGCGTCTTGAAGAGCACCTCCAGCCTGATGACACACCACACCACACCAGACCAGACCACACCAGACACACTCGGGTCAATCCGTGCCATTCCCTGCATCTCTGCCTCTCTGCCTCCCTGAGTCCCTGAGTCCCTCCCGCACTACTCACAGGTTGTGTTGATTCATGAGTTTGCGCGTGAGGTCTCTGACGGAGAACAGCTGCACCGTCACACGATCCAAGGCCGTGTCGTCCACCTCAACCAAACTAGACACACACACACACTCCACAATCGTCCCTCCTCTCCCTTTGTGTGCCCTCCCGCCCCTCCCTCCCGAACTGGCTGACCTTTTGAAGTGCCTGACGAAGACGACGGCGAACTGCTGTTTGAACCAGACGTCAAACATGAGTTCCAGCCACAGGTTGGTCACCTCGGTCCCCACCCCAGACGCCAGCAGCCGGCCGTGGCGCAGCAACACGTCCAGCACTGTCAGCGGCAGATCGTCCCTCGTCACCACAGGGGTAGGTCTCATGGGGAGAAATGTAATGGGATCTAATTCCCCCCAGCCCTCGCCACCAAATGTGATCTGATCGACGGCAGTGGTGGGGTCAGGGGCCTCAATTTGGGGCACCATCTGGTCGCTCGGAAGCACCACACGGTCACGCTGCTGGGGATACCCAAACCTGAAGCAATACACACGCGCACAGACACAGAGAGCACCACAGCGACATGACATCAGCATGTGTGTCTTTCGGTGCAGTGGTGTGCAGTGGTCTGTCTGCTTTGACTGACTGACTGACTCAAATGGGTTGGTCTCGTTTGAGCCGAAGAATATCTGTGGCGACGGCACGTGCAGCTCGTGGTCGACGAGCCGCCGGAGCTTGTCGAGAGCCCGCGGCGAGAGGGTCTGGGGCGGCAGCACGATTGACTCGGTCATCATCTGACCGAACTTGCGACGGATGCCGTCGTGCAGTCGACACATCTTGAGGAAAAATCCTGCGAGCACTCAGACAGACCAGACCCAACTAGGCAGTAAGGCTGTTGTTCTGCTTTTCCCTGCACTGCACTACACACACTACGTGCGCACCGTTGATGAGTGCAGCCCTCTTGTTTAGTCGGTGTGACCGCCTCAAGTCCTCAACGAACGGCGTGACGGTCGGCGTGCCCCACCGGTGCAGCTGCGGCCCCGCCTGCGTGATCCACCTGGTGCCCTCCTCACTCTCCCACTCACTCTCGGGGCCCCCGCCCTCACCTCCCTCGCTCTCGCCCTGCGCGTCGCCGCCGGCCTCCTGTGCGTGAGCCTCCTCCATGGTGACGTCGCCCCCCTCGAGTGGCGGCATATCGTCGGCCGCGGGGCCGGGGCTCGCCGAGCTGGTGTGCGGCAGCAGCGGGGGGGTCACTGGGGGGGGCTGTTGGGGGGGCTGGGGCAGTGGCTGGGGCTGTGGCTCAGGTTGTGTGTCTGGCGGTGGTGGCTCGTGCAGCATCGGCTCGAAGGTGAGGTAGAGCAGCTCACGCACCAGGACACGGCCGTACTCGTCCAGACGACGACTGATGGATGACACACATATATACACACCACACAGGCGCCCGAAGGGTGCGAAGGGAGAGGGGTGAGTGTGTGTGGGAGGAGCAGTGCTGTGGTTGCGTGTGGCTGCGCATGTCATGTACCTACCGAGTGTGCATGGGCAGGAGGTGTGTGGGGTCTCTGGAGGGGTCGGGGCCTCGGTGGAAGCGGCAGAAGCCCGACGGTGACCAGGCATCTGAAATGGAATGACACACAAATGCAATGCAGCCACGCAAGACACTTACTCATCGTAGGTATCACTCAAATCGACTGACTGACTGACTTGGGCCCTAAGCTTACGCTGCCTGCTCACCGGGATCCCCGCAGTCACAGCAGCCGCCGCAGTCAGACCGGTAGATAATGAAATCATGACCCACCTACACACACAAACACACACACATACACGTGTGTCCGTAGCGCGTCATGTGTGGCCTTACATGGTTAGAGTTCTCGAAGCACTTGACACAGATGCAGGATGACGTGGAGGTCCCGCACGTGAAGCACCGGTACGCAAAGTGCGGACCAGACCACACGGCATCGCAGTGCGACAACGAACCTATAGTGCACCACAACAGACAGACAGACAGCACATAAACCATCACCAGCTGGCCAAGCCACCCAAACCACCCATAAACAAACCGATCGATCGCTCCCCTATTGCCTACACCGCTACACACACACCCTACCCTCTCGCTTTGGTAGGTCTGCGAGGAAGTCCCTGCTGGCCCTGTACTGCTCCTCATAGAGCTCCCTGGGGAGGTAGAGGTCCTTCTTGCTCATCTCATGAGGGCTGTCGGCCTGTCCCGCAAGGTACGCCGACACGCTCTCGGTGGGCGGCGCCAGGGAGGCGCCGAGGCAATGCAGCACCAGCGGCTTGTCGAACTTGGAGTTCCACAGGGACACGCACAACTCCTGGATGACCAAACTCCCATTACCCGCACCGCCGCCGGCCAGCTGCTGGTCGTGGAAGTACGTCACGCGGTAGAGCTTGCTCAGGAGATAATGCACCTGCTGCTGACGTTGCTGTACAGTCGTCGATGGCGTCGGAGATGGCGCAGGGTCGCCCTCGCCCGCGGCTGCGGCAGACGGCCGAGAGATGTCCACATTCATCACAACACGTCAGCTACGGCAAGATCAACGTAGATAAGGTTGCTCCCTGTTCGTCCATCAGTGGTTAGGGCAGTTAGTTACACGGATTGTGCTCGCCTTCCTTGGTGGTGGTGAAGGGAGTGCATTCCGACTGAGGACCCTTTGGACGACACTTGCGAGATCTCTATTATCGCTTCCAACCGACTGCACAGAGAGGCCAACGTACGTTCATATCAGCGTCAGCCGCCGATCCCCGCCCTGAACTGTCTACAGCCGAAGACTAGGTGGATCTGGGGTTATCCACATGGAAGAGGCGAAAGACGACAAGGATCCGAGTCCCGGGAGCCAGCCTGCAGTCATCCCCAAGCCTCCCAAAGGCATCTCGCCGCTCCTCGCACAGACCCTCTCCAACCTGCAAGACCCAGCAACCAACGGCACCACCTCCCACCAAGATGCCTCCCTCACACCCATCCCCGAGCCGACAGAGGGAGTGGTGGAGGACGCCACCGGCACCAATAACGACAGGCAGCGGACACTCATCGCGACGGCTGCTGTGACGGCATCGGGATCAGCATCGACAGGGCGTGATGACCTGCCTTCGTCCCCTGGAGGCGGCAGGGAGAAGGGGTCGCTTCTCTACCTCTCCGGCCCGCACGCCGCCACACCAGACGGATACGAGAGGTTCCGCGACTCGGCGAGCAGCAGGCCGCCGCGCCCACCGGCAGGGCGGTTCCAGACCCCCGCACACGCACCGACGGCGAGTGGGCATCTGTATGTGCTGAAGGACTATCGGCCTCCGAGCATTGGGTCGCCCCTTTTCCCGTCTGTGGCCCGATCGTCGTCACATGGAGGCTCGCTGCCCGACTCACCGGCCTTGGTCATGGTCAGCGGGGCCGCTGGTGGTGGCCCTGCTGGTGGTCTGTGTGCGCCGCCTCCGTCGCCGGGTGTATTGTCGACTCCTGGTGGCCACGCCATCAGTGGAGGCATCAAGGAGGGGCGGGTGGTGATTGCTTCGCCGTCGCTGTCCGAGCGGCCCGCCAAGGTGGTGTCGGACGAGAGTCAGGCGCACCGACGGTCCCCGCAGCAGGCCATGATCTTCCTGCGCCACGTCGTCCCCAAGACCACCTCCCGCCCCCCGCCCTCTCCCGGCGTCATCTCAATGTCATGCCCACCCACCCCCCTGCAGACGTCACCACAGCTGCAGAACCGCCCCTCGCCACTCATCAGCAGCGGCAACAACGCCAACAGCCTCCGTCTTCCATCGGCTCACCACATTTCGCCACCACTGGCAGGGGCGAGGAGGAGGACAAGTTCGCTGATTGTGACGAGCCGGCCGTCGGACCTCACCATTGGCTTCGCTACCGGGCGGGCTGACTGGTCTGGGGGCGGCACACCCGGGTCGGCTCCGTCGAGGGGAGCGATCAGCTGGGCGGTGCCGCGGCCGGCTTTCCCTCGGCGGTCGCCGATGCTCTCGGCGAGCATCGGCGGCCCGTCGCCGGGGGTGAGCCCGCAGAGGTCACCACAGATCTGCGCTGTGCCAGGTGAGGGAGAGCATGGAAGGGGGGAGGGACGTGGGGCCTGGCCTTCACGTGTTGTGGTGTGGTGTGCGTGCTCTGTGTGATGATGTGTGCTATAGAGGACACTGTGTTGTCTGACACGGAGATGTCGCTGGTGCAGCACGAGCAGCAGGGGGCTGACGACAAGGACCTCACGGTTTCCAGCCGGACGTCGTCACCACCACTGGCACAGGCACAGGCAGCCAGCCAGACCCGGCTCTCACCACTGTCCAAGCCGCGGATACGGTGGGCCACGGCGGGCTCTGACGTGTCGGTGAGTGAGTGACAACACCACAAACACCGCACCGAACCGCATGGACGAGACGAGACGAGTCCACTCGCATCGAATACACGTGTGTGTGTGTGTGTGTGTGTGCGTGTCTCCACAGGACAACGAGGAAGAAGTTGAGTTCGTTCTGTCCTTCGACACACCCGTCCCACCCAACTCCCAACAACCAGCAGTGACACAGCAGCAGCAGCAGCCAGAGATCCCCTCGCCCCTCGCCCCACCCGCTCCGCCCGCCAACACCCCCGTGACGTCAAACACCGAGATGTCCATATCCACCACCAGCCGGTCGCCCATGACGACGCGCGAGACGGCCGCATCGACCAGGTCCCCCACACGTGGCGACAGGGAGCCGGCTGCAGCAGAGAGTGTTACCATGGCCGACGAGGGTGAGGGTGGCAAGGCGGCGGGTGGTGGTGACGAGGCGGACACGGCACAGCAGCAGCAGCAGCAGCAGCAGCAGGAGGGAGGCAGGGGCGCGGGGGCTCTGATCCTCAGGCGGATCAGGCTGGAGCAGAAGTGGGCCATCTGGTGAGAACGTGGCTTCAGAGAGGAAGATGAAACCAACCCGTTTGCAGTATAGTGTGCGTGAGTGTGTTTGTTTGTGTGGCTCTCTGTGTTTGTGTTGTGTGGCTGTAGGTTCGACCCCGGGGCGAAGTCGAAGAAGGTTGGTCACGACGCGTCGAGATACGAGAGCAATCTGTGCGAGATGGGGTCGTTCGAGACGGTGGAGGACTACTGGCGGTTCTGGAACAACATCGACTTAAAAAAACTGCCCAAATTCTCTAATATCAGCGTCTTCAGGTGAGTGACACCAGTGACACCAGCACACAGACAGACGGACAGAAGGAAGGGCCCTCAAACATGAGCCGAGCCACCCACCCCATCTGCTGTGTGTGTGTGTGTGTGTGCAGGGACGGTGTGAAGCCGATATGGGAGGATGAGCACAACGAGGATGGCGGCCGGTGGGTCATCCGGGCCTTCTCCGCCGAGGACAGCCAGGACTTCTACACGCGACTGGTTCTCAGCATGATCGGCATGCAACTCACAGGACACGACGAAATGGTAGGTATGATGACTACGTGGGGTGGGCGGGACAGAGAGAGATCCCGTGATGGAGAGGAGGCATTCTCTCTGGTGTGGTGGTTGATCTTGGCTGGCTGTGTTTGTCAGAACGGCGCGGTGCTGTCGATCCGCCCCAGAGGCAACACCATCGCCCTCTGGAATGCTACGGTAGGCAAGAGACGATATGCCTGCCTGCCTGCCTGCTCATCTCTCCCTGTGTGTGCGCGTGTGCGTGTGGTGTGGCAGGTTGATTCGTCTTTGTTTGAGGTGGTTGATTTGGAGCTGCGGAGCATCTTTGGCAAAGATGACGGATTCAACCAAGACGTTGACATCGAATACAGAGACCACCAGGTCAGCCAGTCCTCCCCTCCCCTCCCCTCAAACACGCACGTGACATGAAGGCCGGTGTGTCTGTGTGTGGGTGTTTAGGGTGCGATGCAGCACAACGAGGCCTCGGTGCAGTCCAAGAGAGCCGCCAAGAACAAGGACAAGGACAAGGCAGCCAAGGCCACCCGCAAGCGCTCGCCACTGATCAAGAGCTTCATCCCCCTGACCACCATCACCACAGCCACCGACACCGACAAACCCACCGACAAGGACACAGACGCCGCCCCCGCCACAGCGCTGCGAGTACCCCAATTTAAAGACGAGGGCACGACACATCAAGTGGAGGCAGACGTCGCCATGCAGGACGTCGATGCCGACAAGCCACAACAGAGAGAGCGCGAGGGGGAGCAGCCAGCCGAAACCGACGTCAGCATGACCGACGACGCGCCCAAGACCACCACCAGTCTGTTCTCTGCCGATGCGCCAGAGTTTGTGCCTGGCGGTGGTGCTGGTGGTGGCCCTTATGACGAGCAGCAGCAGCAGCAGCAGTACCACAACCCCTACGTGGCCGCGGGCGGTGGCGTCTTTACCGGGCAAGGATACTTCCCCGACGAGCTGACGATGGCGCAGATGGCCTTCAACAACCAGCAGGCCATGAGCGGGGCCATGCAGATGCCCGTCATCGGCTACGACACCCACACGGGCATGCCCATCATCATGGCGCCGGCGGCCATGGAGTGGGCACACGCCATCGCACAGCAGCACCAGCACCAGCTACAGCAGCAGCAGGAGGCGGCATCATCACCAAAGGCGGCGGAGGAGGAGGGTGGCACGTCAGCCAAGGACGAGAAAATGGCTGCTGAAGGGGAGGAGGGCGGCACTGAGGGGGAGGGGGAGGGAGAGGTGGCAGCCAAGGACGAGACAATGGCTGGCGACTTGCAGCAGCAGCAGCAGCAAGACGGGAGCATGGACCTCAGCTTCACCGTTCCACCGGTAAGACATCAACAAACCGTCCACACACACACACACGTCATCGACGCCATCCATATATGTTTCTCTGTCATTCATTCATTCATTGATCCATCCCTCCCTCCCTCCCTCCCTCTTTTAGGGTGCGATTGCGATTCCCGTTCTGTATGCGAATTACCCCCACGGCCCGTCGCCGGCCTTCCCCTTCTACGGCAACCCCTATGTCGACCACACACACACACACTACTGGGGAACCAACGGACAAGAGCAGCAGCAAGAGCAGCAACAAGAGCAACCACAGCAGCAGCAGCAGCAACAGTAGTAGGCGCCCACACACGCCATAGACAGACACACGCGGCCGGGTGGGTGTATGGGGTCATGGGGGCGTTCTGGGGTGGGGTGTCTGTCGATCATGAGAGGGTGGGTGCGTGTGTGAGGGCATGTGTGAAGGTATACTAGGTAGCCAGCTGCGTGTGTGTGTGTGAGTGCATTGCTGGCTGCAATGCACATGTGCAGCCTGCCCTGCCCTGCCTGCATGAGGTACCACACAGGGATCAAGGGGGGGAGAGGGAGGGGGCGGTGTGTGGGCAGTTTTGGAGCGGCGAATGGTCTGTCTGGATGTGACGCCTGCCTGCCTGCCTGCCTGCTCGAATAAAGGGAGGGAGGGAGGGAGGGGGCGTTTTAAGCGCTGCGTGTCGTAGAGACGGATGCATGTGTGTGTTGTGGCTTGGTGTGATGTGGTGTGATGTGATGCCTTTGACATGTGGCCTGCCTGCCGCGAGCTCTTTGGGAGCTCTCTCTCTCTCTCTCTATCTCTCTCTCCAGTGATTCCAGTGACTCCACTTTTTGAAGCCGACAGACAGACAGACAGACACAGACAGATGTTTTGACCAACACCGAGCGAGAGTCATCATTCCATTCCATTCACTCATTCGTTCTTGGAGACAACGACCCCCTCTCTGGCACAGGCATTTACAAAAAGGGGAAAAATACTACCGTAGGCAGGCACAGGCACACGGCAGTCGCGCCGTTGAGAGGTGGCTGACACACACACACACACACACTCTCCCGCACCCACAGCTGTCATGGTCTGGACAGCTCCACGCCTTGCCCCAGCCCACACACCACCCACAGGGCCGGGCGGACTGAGAAAACATACCAAGATACCAAGACGGCAACCCAACAGTCAGCTGTCGAGAAGCAACTCACTTAGATAGACCGGATGGGTGCTCTGTCTGTCTGTGTCTGTCTGTATGCCTTGACGCGACAACCCTCATTCCCTCCATATGTCATGTGCCCGCCTCGCCCCCGCCCCTCCCGGCCGACAGACTAGAAAAAGGCGAACGCCTTGGCGACGGCCACGAGGTTGTGGTCGGGGAACGCACCCTGATTGGATTTGTGGATGGAGAGGTATCACGCACACACACACGAGGGAGGGTGGTGGCAGGGATGCACCTGTTTACGCGTGTGTGTGTGTGTGTACTCTGTGGAATATGATTTCCGAAGCCAGGTCGAGCACCTCGGGGCCCATCTCCATCGCACAATAACCACCTGCACACACAACACACGCAGCCAGACAGAGAGAGAGAGAGAGATGCAGGCCATCATCATCCACACAAGGAGAGAGAGGTGCCGACGTGCCGACCGACCTTTTGTGAGTCCTGATTCTGGCGTGGGCAGGCCAGCGCGGGCCAGATGCTGCGAAGGCAGCATTAGGATCGTCCGACCTGACGACACGACAGACACGCTCAGGTCCACCCATCCCCCCATCGGCCCACCGAGCCATCCCCCCTTGTGTGATTGATGTGCCACTGACCTGCAGGACACAGCACGCTGCTCCGGTCGTCGTAGAGAGTCCTCAGAGCAGTCAAGGCCATGCTGAGCGAACAAATCCGTCTGATGTACCTCTCTCTCTCTCCTCTCTTTGTGTGTGTGGCTCTCTCTGCCTCCCTGTGTGTGTGGGGGTGCCTACCCTACCGGAGTTGCGTTTCCCAGAACTGGCGTGTGTGGGGGTGTGTGGCGGGCGACAGGTGTTTCTTGGCCTGGGAGACCAGCTTCAGCACCTTGTCGGTCGTCCACTCTGACATCGGGTCGCTCTCACACACACTGATGGATGCGCACCGCGCCGCACACGGGGGGAACGGACAAACAACCACCAAATGCCTCTGCGCGATGCGTGTGTGTGTGTGTGTGCCTCTGAGTACGCAGCTGCCGATGAGGCGAAGGCGTCTTTCTGCTTGTCGGGGTTCATGATGGGCTCGTCAGCCAGCTTGGGCGGAGGGGCAGAAGCACTCGCAGACGGCTCTGGCTCCTGATGCTGGCCTGCACCTGTCGTCTTGGCACCACTTGAGGCTTGCTCCGTCCGCGAATCGCCGACGTGTGGAGGTGCACCGTCTACACACCCGCTCAATAGACACAATCTGCCTCATCTGTCCCGAGGGTGTGGTGTGTGTGCGTGGCCGCTCAGCTGACTTATAATGGTGGTCTGCTGCTGCTGCTGCTGTGTGCCGTTGTCGTTGTCAGTAGAGGTGTTGGTGTGTCTGCGGCCCGCTAGGTGGAGGAGGACCCTCTGCATGTTGCTGATGCTGCCGATGCTGGCCCGGCTCACCATATCGCGGGCATGCACTATCGACGTGATGTAATCTGCCACAGGACACACACGTGCGTGTCCAAGTCGGTATCTGTGTGTGTGAGTGTCATCTCGGTGCGGTGTGGTGTGTGTCCGGACCTTTGGAAGCGGCAGCCAGCTCCAGTGTGACGATGCCTACGCAACGCAAAACGATACACACGAACCATGTGGGCGAGGCGGGGCGCGCGAGTCCATCGGTGCAGTGCAGTGCAGGTGTGTGTGTGGGGGTGTGTGTGGACGGACAGGGGGGGTTGAAGGCGACGCAGTGTATCTTGGGGCCCAGCAGGGGGTCGCTGATCCACTTGAGGGCCAGCAGAGACGCCACACCACCGCCCAACGAGTGACCCTGGGTGGTGTGGTGTGGTGTATTCGTCCACAGCCCAACCGACAGACATGTCGAGACACATGTATATATATCTCTCTCTCTGTGTGTGTGAGATAGCTTACCTGCAGGACCATGTTGTAAGTGGGGTACATGTCTGCGAGCCGCCTGTACTTGTCGCGCAGATGCTCATCGAACCACTGGGCACTCGTCACCTACACATCACATCGCACACAGCCATGCAGGCGGCCGCGATTGTGTGTGTTCACCTCTCTCTCTCTCTCTGTGTGTGTGTGTGTGTGTGTGCGTACCATTCCGCTGTGTGCGCCCTCCTCGATTTGGCAGCAGAGGTCCGTCAGGCAGTCGGCCACACTCAAGGTGCCCCGAAAGGTCAACTGATCAGCCAGCCCCCATGTCATGTGTGGCTACTTACGTTTCTATGTGCAGGTGGCAAGCAGCCTCACAGTCCCTCCCTCCCTCCCTCCCTCTGACCGCTCCGCTCACCCCGATTTCCTGTCTGTCATGGTCGAGTGTGGTGTAGTAGATGGGGCGGAAGGTGCTCGTCACCCACGCCGTCAGCGGCACATCACCCTCACCATCCCTGCACACCCACACACACACACACACCGGGCGAGAATGGGCACACGCACCCACTGATTGCACTGTTATAGTTAGTTTGTGAGGGAGGGAGGGAGGGAGGGAGTTCTCACTTTTGGTACTGCTTCATGACCGACGGGGCGCTGCTGGAGTGGTGGAAGGTTTCGCCCCCCTCACTGGCCTGTTTGACCTCGGCAGCGTCGCTGGCGGCGTGGGTGTCCTCGAGGAACTCGATGGTGCGCTCCGGCAGGTCGGTGAGGATGGCGTCGCGCGACAGACCCGTCAGCTTCTCGAAAAACTCCAACTGAGAAAATGCCTGGGGTGGTGGACAAAGACAGAGAAGGGAGAGATGAAGACACGTGTGTCTGTGTGGGTGTGGGTGGCTGACTTGAATGGGCAGGCCGCAGATCTGCATTGCTGGCGGAGGGTAGGCCGCCATGCACATGCGGATGGACCGATCCAACCTTCACGCCATTGCATGCCATGGACACACACGTCTCGTCTCGTCTCGCCTCGTCTCGTGTCTGCGTGTGTGCCCGTCTGTGTGTGCCTGTGCCTGCCTGTTGATGTCTTGGGTGTTCTCGGGCAGGTCGCAGTCGATGAAGGTGCCGCCCGTCCTGGGGTACGGCGCCTGCGCCAACTCCTGCAGCGTACCTGTCGAGTCGACACACACCACACCCCAGCATCACATGGGCATGAGTCTCCCCATCCCCCAGGGATGGTGGCTCAATCACTGCCGAACTCACCGAAGGCCACCAGGGCGCGGCCCAGCTCCAATGGGCTCACTTCTGCCGAACACACACACACACACACAGAGGTTGCACTCCGATAGGCACTCTCTCCGCAATTGCAGACCAGAGAAGGGCATGGCTAGATCTAGGACGTAGTGGGCCACGTCGAAGAGACCGCCCTTGCGCATCCTCGTTATCTGCTCGCCACACACACACACACACGTGTGCAGCACGTCTGAAGCGACCACGTGTGTGTGTGTGTGTGTGTGTGAGTGTTACGTTGTATCCGGCCTCCCGCAGGGCGCCAGCGATGCCCGTGTCCAACATGTCCAAACCTGCACACACACACACACACAAATGTGTTTGCTTCCACAACTGGATACAGCGCGTGACATGGGTGACACGGCCGTACTGTTTTGCGCGGCTCGGTTGATCTCCTTGGTGGTGCGTCGCGACATGTGGATCAGCTGGTTGATGCCTCGGCCGATCGACGACACCACACTGCACACAGCACACACACACACACACACACACGCACACACGCACACGCACACGCACATCCATGGCTTCTGCGTGTCTGTTCTGTGTGGGCTGCGGCCGATGGATAGTAGCGACTTACTTCTGCACGCACTGAGAGGAGCTTTTCACGCTGTCACGGGCCGCGGCCCACGTCTCGGGGTCCCAATGGCGGAACTGACACAGAGAGAGAGAGACCCTCACTCGTCTTTACATACACAAAGCGCGAATGCTCACGTTCGCCCCCACGGCGTGCACGGCGTCTTCCAGTGTCTGCACACCTGCACGCCACGCCCAGGCAGGCAACACACACAGAGAGCGTGGCTGTGAGGACAACAGAGACCACCGCACCCACCTGAGTTGAGGACGGACTTGGTGCCCTCGTTGAGGTCCACTGCGACGCCGTGTGCGGTGCCCGACACGTAGTCGGCGAGCTTCACTCCCGCCTTGGCCGCCGTCACGCAGTACAGACCAAACATGTACACACGGCTGTCTTGGGTGGAACCCTTAAGGAAGGAATGACACACACAACAGAGTGCATGTCGCTATATATCGAGCTGTCTGAGCTGTCTGTTACCGACGGCGCCTCATTGTCAGGCTCGCTCCTGGTCTCCCTGCCAACACACAGACAGACAGACAGGCAGACAGGCAGACAGGCAGACAGACACGGAAACCCCACACACACGAATGCACTCAGCCGCAGTGAAGCAACCACGTGTGCTCGTCTCTCTCTGCCCACCGACCTGTCATCGTCAAGCCAGTCCGAGTCCCCCGCCTCGCTGAACAGATCAGCCTGCACACACACAGACAGACAGACAGACAGACAGAGCCACACACAGCCATACACACAGATCCATCGCCAGGACCGGCATCGCATCTACCCGACCACACGCCGCCCCGCCCACCGCACCAGGTAGTAGTCAATCTCGTCAGCTGCAGCGGCAGCGGCTTGGAGGTTGGGCTCCGATCGGGGCCGGGGCATGCCCTGCGGCGGGCACAGCAGCCTGTCGCTTCCTATAACGCTCCCCTGCCTCTGCATCCTCGAGATCTATCGCAGGGGAGGGCTGCTCACGCGAGGGAGGTTCGTAGGGTTCAGGGTTTAGGGTTTGCTTCTGGCTGCGATCGCGGGTTCTGATGCTTTGCATTCCGTGTTCTTCGTGGGTGTGAAGGCGTCATAAGCCCCATGCAGCGATGACGTTGACTCTCGCTTCAAATCAACTATCTGTGACACACGGCACCAGACCCTTGCGGCTTGTTACATGATACATTGTGCACCAGCAGCGATTCAGCCTCACGTGAGTCTCACCCCTTTCGCCTCGCCTTGCTGCCTCAACAGATCATATCCCCACCGATGCCGCCCGCTCGTCGCGGCGTGGGAATGAGTAGAGTCTCATGCAGAGAACTGAGAAAATTAAGATCTCACGCATGGCAATCGAACCATCGCCAAACCGGCAAAAAAGGTCGAGAGAGAGAGAGAGAGAGAGAGAGAGAGAGGGAGGCCCGGTAGCAAAAAGAGCCAGCTAGCAGCCGGCAACAAGACGGGATATCAACGACTCCACTGCAGTTCATGGCAGCGTAGGTCTGTCTCGTCCTCTGCTGCTGCACTGGACGACCCAACCGACCCGTCTGCTGCGCAAATTGTCTTCTCTGCGCAGCGGTCGGGTACGATGGACCATCCGAAGCGGCAGCAAAGAACAGAGACCGAAGCCGCACGCACGCATGAGACCGACCACTCTGTCACACGTCCATCATCAATAAACCGACCTAGCAGCCAACTCCGGGAAGACGTCATGCGTCAACCGTCTGTCGATCTGTCTGTCTGTCTGTGGTTCCTGTCAACCACACTAACAAAATGAGCCAGCATCGATCGCATCCAATGGAGAAAAAGAGGGCCACCCTGACAGTAAGCAAGCGGCCAGACACAGACGACAGACGGGTGGAGTGAGTGGATGTTGCCCGATTACCTACCGGGCCGGGCAACAACACTCCAATCTGCCTGACACAATCTGCCCACCTACCCACCCACCCACAGCATACACCCACCACGGGTATTAAAAACGGACGAAACACACACATATGACTGCCTTGGAACGACCAAAAACACCGATAAGGCCAAAAACCGCTCGTTCACACGGGTCGCCTTCTAACTCGCGAGCCCTCTTCTTCCCCCGTGCAGCCGTCCTCGCCATCGTCGCCCATGTCCTGCACACTCTCGGGCTGCGTCTCCTGCTCGTCCGCCTGAGAAGCGGATGCGCCGCCGGTGAAGCGCCCCAGGGACCGCTCCACCTGGTCGGTGATGGCGGCCTTGATGGCATCGGCGGTGCGCTTGACGCGGTCGGGGAGCATCCGCCCGGCGTCGTCAGCCTGCCGCTGCTGAAGCTCCTTGATGCCTGCACAAACACGCACAAACGAGACGCGCATCAGAGGCCGGCTGGACTCGGGCTGTGGTGGGGGTGGGGAAGAACCGACCAGCTTCGATTGCTGCCTTGGTTTTGTCGCGCACTTGCTCAGCCAGCTCTTGCAGCTTCTGCACACACACACAAGACGGCATGCAGCATACAACACGACCACGACAAGGTATATGGCCGTGCGAACGTCAGGGTGGTTGTGGGCTGCTTACGCCGTCGTATGCATCTGTCCCTGCGACTGCATCGAGCTGCTTCTTCTCCTCAGCCGTGCTGACGGGATCGCCGAACCTGACACACACACCCCACACACACACGACAGACAGGAGATGCAGAGTGGATTTCCCTCGCCCCCTGGAGGTGTCTGTCTGTGTGTTCCTGACTGACTGACTGACCAGAAGTAGACTCGCTCGGTCTCCGCTGGCGTGGGGTACTTGATGATGGGCACCGTCAGGCTGGACTTGCCAATCAGCCAGTCGATAGGCACATCCTAACACACACACCGACACACCGACACACCGACACACGCCACGCCCACAGGCATACGCACCGATGCACTCACTCACACCAACGCACCAACGCACCAACGCACCAACGCACCTTGAGTATCTCGAGCATGTCTTCGGTGCCGACCGAGCAGGTGGGCACGATGGTGACGCCCTCCTCGACGGCGATCTTGGCGAAGCCCACCCTGTTGCCCCACATCAGCTCGTACTTCTGCACCTTGCTATTCTTGAGCACCTCGCGGGTCCCGCCGGGGTACACCAGTACGCTGAAGCCCTTCTGCAGCATCAGCCGCGTGTTGGGGCGAGTGCCGTCCACTGCACCCATCATCTCGAAAATCTGCTTGTGGCCGGGGAGGTAGAAGTGGAAATGCGCTGCGGTGCGGCACACACACATGCGACAAGGAGAGAGAGAGAGAGAGAGATCCGCTTCGACGTGTGTAAGACTGACTTTGCCATATGATTCTCCCTGGCTGACCTCCGAGCCCTCTAAGGAAGATGTTCTTTTCTCGGTAGAGCCCCTCGATGAGCAGTGGCATCTCCAGCCCCCACAGCGAGTGGTTTGACACGAACAGCAGCCGGTGCTTCTTGGCGTCAGGGATGCGGTCAAAGCCGAAGAACTGTGGCGACACGAGCCACTTGTAGGGTGCGAGGATGGGCCCCAGCGCTTCGAGCTTGGGCGGCTGCCACTCGACAATGTCGCGCGTGGCGGCCGACTTCTCCATCTGCATGATGGTCTCCTCGTTGTGGTAACACACGTAGCACACGTGGCGCATGCCCCCGTAGGAGAACACGTTCGCTACAGCCATCCAGATGCTGAACCAGATGCCCGTCTTGACGTCGGCCGTCGGCTCGGGAGGGAGGGAGCTGAGCTGCCCCACGCACCAGCAGAAGAGGGCGGTGGACACGGCAATGGCGCCTGTGGAGGCGTCGATGGGCAGGCGGGTCTTGGAGGCCACCTTGATAAGCATCCGCTTCGGCGCGAAGTGGATGGGGAGGAAAAACACCGTCACGAAGAGGGCGTGCACGCCGAACAGGGCGACCAGCAGCCAGTGCACCAGATCTGTCACCATGGTGAGCGCGGTGAAGTGAGGGGACCTGGGCCTGCAACCAGCAAAGATGAGCACTGTTTTGTGTTCGATGCAGCCCCTGCGAACCCTCCCCATCCCTGTTACCTGTTTCCTTCAGTTTCTGTTTCCTTCGAGCAGTTTCACGGAGCTTCCGTCTGCGAGCTTGGATAGCATTCCCTGCCTTTTCTCCCCTCAGGCCATCTATGCCTTTCGCCGATGGCCTTTGAGGGCTCCATCTCCGCAGAGGAGCTAGCATCCATCCAGGAGACGATTCCACAGGAGGTCCTGCTCACAGCCACCCAGGAGTACGTCATCTTCCACGTCATCGGTACGCCACACACACACGCTCTCCCACGCGACACTCACAGGAACAGATTGGAGCCATTCACTCATCCACTGCAATCATTGGCTGTGACTGTGGCTGTGTGTTTGTCACATAATCCAATGCCCTCCATGGACTGACTGGACAGAAACGCCCTACAAGAATCTGACGATGAAGTGCCAGTTCCCACTGCAGTACCCGTCCTCCCCGCTGCTGTTTGAGCTGGAGACCAAGACGCTGCCCGAGAGGGTCAAGCGGAAACTCGTCGACAAGTGTGAGCAGGAGGCAGAGCAGCTGGCCGACAAGGGGCAGCCACAGGTAGTATGTTGCCGAGGGGATGGATGGATGGACTCATTGCGTTGCGGTGCATTGTGTTGTGCTGCGGTGTGTGGTGAGTAGCAGGTTCTGGCTCTGTGGACGTTTCTCTCCACCTTGCTGCAGAGCAATCAGCTGCTGCTGTGCACCGAGCACATATCGGACATCAAGAGCAGGTTGCTCACCGGGCCGCACGACAGCCTGAAGCTCTCGGAGCGCAACGGCACAGTGACGGTCCGCGTGGAGGAAGCCGGATTCGTTGTCGACTTCACCGTCAAGGTCAGTCAGTCATTCTCACAGCCACCCATCTGCTCACACACACGCACACAGACGTTTGTTATGTCATGCTTGAGTGTGCAGGTGCCTCGTGGGTACCCCGGGGAGCAGCTGGAGCTGAGGTGTCGGGAGGCCACCTACCCCCCGGCCGTCACACACATGTTCTTCAAACAGGCGGAGGAGGTCGCCAGGAGGGCCAGCAAGGTAGATAGATGCTCACACAGCCCGACAGACAGACAGACAGCCCGACAGACGAGCAGACAGTTGTGATTAGACATGTTTGATTGTGTGCCGATGTCATTGATCTCATCGGTCCTGAAGGGTATCCCCCTGAATGTGTCATTGCGTGAGAGCGACCCAGCGAAGCCCTCAGAGGAGGTGGTGCAGCTGAGCATCAGCCAGTACAAGCATGACGTCAAGTTCCTCAAAGTCGCAGGCAGGTCACACCACACACACCCTCAGCACACACTGACTGATTCAATGCGTCCGCCCACCAAGCTGTGTTCACCTGTCTGTCTGTGTGTGTGTGTGTGTGTGCAGGTGAGTTGGCGCGCATGTCTGATGACAAGCAGATGAGGCGCGAGAAGAAGGTCCTCGACAAGAGGGAGTGGGAGAGGGAGCAGCAGCAGGCGACGCAGGTGGCGCAAACGGCCGCCAGGTCGGCCCCCACGGGCATCCCCAAGGCGCACAGAGATGGCGGCGAGCCCGTCCCCGCCCTCTATGCCGTGGTCGAGTACATCGTCAACAAATTCGCCAGGTATACATACCCATGGATTGGATGGGGTGGGCGTCCATGCATCGCATCCACCACACGTCGTTGTCCACGCACCGTGTGTGATTGGCTTCAGGCTGCTGCCGCATGAGAAGTGTGCGCACTGCAAACAGCCGGTCATCGACGCCATCAAGAAGGGCGAGAAACAGGTAACTAGGGAGGGAGGGAGGGAGGTGTGGACGAAAGATGTCGTCCCTTCTGATCTTGGCCAGGCTGACCCGGCGGAGCGAGCGTTCTGCGGTCACTGGTTCCACTCGTCGTGCCTCGAGCACGTCATGACCAAGCCACCATTCGGCATGCAGGTACCTCCGTGGCCAGGCAGACAGGCGCAAAGAGATGCACACGCAACTCAACCAGTGTGTGCAAGGCACCCGCTGCGCTGTTTGCAGTGTCCCGGTGATGGCTGCGACTCCCGCGTCTTCCACCCCAAATGGACGTCTGACGTCAAGGTAACCAAAAACCGCACGCAGCAAAGAAAGGAAGAGTCACACGTGTGCGCGTGTGTGTGGCTATGTGGGTGTGGCAGACGCTGGAGCGTCGGTGGGCGGCCGCACAGGCACGGCAGCGGGAGGTCGACGACGCAAGGGACTTCCTGGGACTCTGATGCGCAGGCGCTCTCCGTGCATGCCTCGAGGCTCGTGACAGGCTGCCTGGCCAGCCCATGTGCGACTTGTCGTGTAGATGTCATTGCAAATGTACTTACTGTACATGCATCTCTGGACATCCTTGACAGCTAGTGCCACTCCCATCATACCCTCCGCACGACGTATCGAAGAAATCTTCTGCCAAGACTTGTGGTCGAGACTGGGGGCCACATTGCAGGCTGCAGTGACCAGCTCGCGTCGGTCTTTCTCTTTCCCACCCCTGTCTTTGTCGACTGCGGCCTCTCTGTCGGTTCGCAAATGGATCCTCACGGCGGCCCCGGTGCGCCTCACCCTCAGGGTCCTCCCATGGCCGCCCCGCCTCCCGGCTTCGTCTACGGGGCGCCCATGCCTCTCAACGCGCCCACCCAGGGCCCTCTGCTGTCGGCCACTGCGCCCGGCGGGCAGCCGGCCCCGCCTGTGCCGCTGGACAGCAACCTCTCTGCGTCGGGGAAGGTGGTGCCGGTGCCGGTGTACCAGGAGATTCGGATGCAGGATCGTATCATAGAGGTCCCTGAGATCCATGTGGTGGAGGTGATTCAGCCCAAGGTGACCGTCCAGGAGAAGATTGTGGAGGTGCCCAAGTACGAAACCATCTGGCAGGAGAAGGTCGTGGAGGTGCCCGGCCCGCCTGGGGCGTCCGAGCAGATCAAGTACGTCGAGGTGCCGCAGATTGAAGTGAGAATCAAAGAAGTACCCGGCAGAATCGAAGTGAGTGCACAGGCAGGGCCAAGGGCTGCACTGGGCAAGAGACAGGCAGGCCAGACGGACGGACAGGCGCCATTGCACTGCACTGTCCTCCTCTCTCTGTGCCGTTTTCCCCTCTTCTGCCGTCTCTCTCTCTCTCCCTCTCTCTCTCTCTCTCTGTGTGTGTGTGTGTGTGTGTGGATGGATGGATGGATGGATGGATGTGATCCTTCCTGCTCAGTATAAGGAGATTGTGCGTGAGTTCGGGAAGCCTGAGATCCAGTATGTCGAGAAGATCGTGGAGGTGCCTCAGATACAGATCGTCGACAAATTCGTCGAGGTCCCACAGATCCAGGAAATCGTCAAACAAGTACCTAAATTCGAAGTCGTCCCTCCCACCGGTGGTAATCAACACACGCAGCAAAGCCGTCTCTCCCTCCCTCTCTCACTGCTGTTGTCTCCCTCCCTCCCTCCCTCCCTACCCCCTCTCTCTCTGTGTGTTTGTATGTGTGTGCAGACCCTGGTAAGGTGCGTGAGGTGCCGGTGGGTATGACGCAGGTGGTGGAGAAGGTCAGGCCCATCCCGTACCCAGTGTACAAGGACATCCCAGTGTACCAGGAGAAGCACGTCCCGGCCACCGGCGGCGCTGTCAAGGTCGTCGAAAAGATCAAATACGTCCATGTCCCAGGACCGGTCAGTGCAGTGAGACCAGACCGTGGCTCACTGGGCTGATGGATGCGATGCATTCTTATGTGTCCGTCCGTCCGTGTGTGTCTGTCTGCTACTGGGCCGGGCCAGGTTGTGGAGAAGTTTGTGCCGGTGATGGTGCCGGGGCCCATCGTGGACGTGCCCCAGCCTGTCGGGCCCCAGCCTGTCGAGAAGCCCCGCCCCGGCGGCCGCATCATCCAGGTGCCCGTCGAAGTTATCGAGGAACAAGAAATCATCGTGGAAAAGTTAGTCACTCTGCCCCCAACATTACCGGCCCCAACACTCACACCCACACCCACACGCACACACACGCCGTCTCCATCTCTCTCCGCCCCTCCATCCGTGTGGTGTGTGGTGTGAGTGACATTTAGGATCATTCCTTTGCCGCCGGGTGTGCCCCCGCCTGCGGGTTTTGAGTTGTCTGGGCCCCGTGGTGTGCCGGGAGCCCCTGGTGAGGAGGCCAAGGTGGTGGAGGTACCTGTCGAGAAGATCCGCGAGATTCCCGTGCCCGAGTATGTGGACGAGTACGTTGACGTGCCGGCGGAGGAGGGGCAGCCCATCATCATCCACCCGATTCCACAAATCGTAAGGTTGAAGCACACGACGGCACACACACACACACGCACAGAGAGAGAGACAGACAGAGAGAGCTCAGGGGAGGGAGACACGGCTCATCTCATGCCACTTTTCTCTCTGTGCGTGTCTCTATCTCCTTTCAGGAGTACAAGCAGCTGCCTCCGATCGTGGAGCGTGGTGAGCCCCGTGTGGTGAAGGATCCCCCCCGGTTCCTGCCGCCCATCTTCGACAGGGAGGTGACGACCGTGCCGCACGTGGGCCCCCCTCCGCCCGCCGGAGGCCCCGTCATGCCGCCCACCCGACCCCTCCCCCCGCACATGCTGCCGTTCCCGCCACACACCGCACCAGGGGCGCCGCCGCCCCCACACATGATGCCGTTCCCGCCACAGCCCGTCGTCAGACCCGAGGGAGACACCGCAGCACCCGACGCGCCGGCCGGCGACGTGCCACCCCCCCCCGCACACACCCAGTGAATTGAATAATTACTGGACGGTGGGCGGGAATTGCTCGATCGGTGCGCGTATGTGTGTATGGTCGAGTGAGTGGTGTGCTTGGATAGCTGGATGGATGGCTGGCTGCCTGTTCGCACAACTGCAGTATTGAGAGCACAATCCAGAGAGAGTCAGAGAGAGAGGCACACACAACGATAGCGGAGGAGAGTGGGCAGGAGGGCGGGCAGGCAGGTAGTCGATTGGATGGTGTGCTGGTGTGCGCTGCATGGTTATATATATACATGAGTTTGGGAAATCATGATTGATTCATAAGACAACTACACGGCGGACAAACCATGAGCAACACTGACATTAACCGATCGATCCCTCAGAGTCACTCATACATTCAGGCCAATGGCATGGCAGCAGTTGAGTCTAAAAACGGCGCACACGTCCTTCCCCTCCAGCCCACTTTCCGCGTGTGACCTACGGCAAGGCCTCGGTGTGTTGTGCTCATGTGTTCAGCCAAGAGATATGCCAAGAGACAACGGTTTGGACCTGATCGAGACGGTCAAAGACAGTGTCTGTAGCAGTGGCTGATTGGGTCAAAGTATGCCCGCCACACGTCCTGGTACAGCCCATCGGGGCTCCATGGCTTGTAATACCCGTTGAAATGCATTATTCTCGATGCCCTCACCTGACACGACACGAGGACAAACACCACAATGGCTTGCCGCGCTCGCAGCACAGCACAGCACAGCACAGCACGTCCGTGTCTCTCCCTCTTTCCCACCCGCGATCTGAGTTTCTTGCTCCAGCCGAAGTGCAGTGAGTTCCATTTCCATGACAGAGGCTGGACCTGTCTGCTGGCGAACAGGACGCACAGCGGGATCTGGCTGCTCTCCACGGTCGACTGCCCGCCGTACCGCCCCACTCCCAGCGACCTCATGCGATACACCAAACGCTCCACCTCTTCCGTCAGCCGGTGACGGCGCCAGTAATCCAGATTCAGCACACACATACCTGCACCCACAGATGGCCATACCATGCATACGTGGGTGTGTAGGCGATGATCTTTGTGTGTGTTATGGGCAGGCAGGGCTTCTGTCGCCTGCCTGCATTAAACATGCTCTTGGAGGTGTCGACTTTGAGATGCACTCGCAGGACCTCTTCGAAGGCGGGTTTGTTGCGGAACTTCTTGACGAACGTGAAGCCCTCACGCTTCACAGCTGCAAGGCCGACGTGCTCACGAGATCGGTCGTCGACAAAACACATGCCTGCCAGCCATGTGATGTCCGACTGAATGAAAGAGGAGGACAGCGTTGTGCGACATGGTATGGCGATGTTTGTTCCGGGCGCTTGCCTTTCGTTACCTTGACGAGCATGTCTGCGTCTAGCCATATGGCCTTGGCGGCCGTGGGCAGCAGCTCAGGCAGATAGAAACGGACGAAGTTGAACAGCACCTGCACACAGACAGCCAACCATAGCCCTCTTGCGTCCGCCAGAGGCTCTCTACATCTAACCAACCTGCGAGTGCTGCCCCGCTGCAAGCCGCACCTCTGTCGGGCTGATGCCCAGCACAAACACGCGGAGGGACTGCGATGACGACAGATGAGGGAGAGTGGCGTTCGGCGCACTGCCGCTGACGGCATAGCCACCGCACTCAAGCATCTGCAACAGCACAACAGCACAGTCCTCCTCTCGTCTGATGAAAGTTGGCCTGCCTGCCTTGCCTTGGTCATGCAGTGCTGGTCTTGTCGCTCCACTGCCACGACAATATTGAGGCGCCTACGGCTGATTGAGCTCCGGGCACTCTCAGATATGGAGCGCACCAGGGCCAAGATGGCCTGAAGGAAACATCGGGGGAGGAAGACCGAAGGAAGAGAAGCCAGCCTCCATGCCGCTTTCCCTCGTGCGCTGTGCTTGTTTGGAATGATGACTGACCTACCCTACCTACCTGGTACTGTTTCCTGTCTGCTCCGGTAACGACAAACACGTCCCGCCACCTCCTCTCCCCAGCCTTTTCCGCCCGTTCGCCATCCATCGTCTTGTTTTCGTGATTTCTGTTACCCATTCTTGTGTCGCCCTGCTGTTGCAACGGCTCCTTCGTGTTGGGAACGCCTTCATGGACAGGCGCTGCCGACGTGTCCCCCGCTGTCGTTATCCCGGCCTGGCTTGTCGCAGTCCACAAGTGTTGCCTGTGGTTGAGGAGGAGAAGGGCACCCTGCCACAGCGACAGGGCAGAAAACACGGCGATGGTCACCACCTCCAACACCCGATTCGTCCACAGACGCATCGAGATCACATTGGCAGATCCGCAGGAACGCTGCAATGGGGCTCTTCAGAAAACGTCAAGATCAGCCACCAATCTCGTCACAGGGCTCTTCTGACGCCTCAGCTGACCTCCAGAATCGTCCCGACAGTGGGAAAAACCCGTACGATCGCTTCCCTCCTCATTTCTAAGCTCGCAAAGGAGGAGAAGCGGCCGCAACTGACCGGCATCTCAATTAAGCTCGGCAGTATCGATAATGGGGAAAGAAGGTCCGTCGATGGTAGTGTGTGGCGTCAAGGTGCCCATGAAGGTGGTGTCCTTGGCGGCGCTCGTGTTCCAGACGACCGCTGTCGTCATCACCATGCGCTACAGCAGGATGGTCAAGACGGACGGACCCAGATACCTCAACACATCCGCCGTCGTCAGCAGCGAGGTCAGAAGACCAGATCACGCGAACACAACACAACGCAAGAAGCGCACAGAAGCAGTCTTCCATTGGTCTGTGTGTGTGGTGTGTGATGGCTAGATCCTGAAGCTAGTGGCGTCGGTGGTTCTTGTGTGGCAGGAGAACAGCTTCCAGGTGGACAGGCTGGTGAGGCTCTTCCGCACTGAGGTCTTCGCCAAGCCCATGACCACCCTCAAAGTGGGCATCCCCGCCCTCCTCTACACCATCCAGAACAACCTCCTCTTCGTCGCCCTCTCCCACCTCAGCGGGGCCATGTATCAGGTCAGTCAGTCAGTCAGTCGTCGGCTGCCCATGCACAGACACGGACAGACATTTGGACAGACGATGTGTGTGTGTGTGTGTGTGTTTCCTCTGCCTGCCGTTGGTGGATGGTGCAGGTGACGTATCAGCTGAAGATCCTGACCACTGCATTGCTGTCGGTGATGATTCTGCACAAGCAGCTGTCGTTGCTCAAGTGGCTGTCGCTCATCGTCCTGACGGCCGGCGTGGCCCTCATCCAGATCCCGCCCTCCAGCAACAATGCCGTGAAGCCAGACACATTCGGCGGCTCCACGGCCATCGGACTGGCGGCCGTCCTCGCCGCGTGCTTTACCTCAGGTAGATAGGAGGGGAGCGAGTCGGAACATGTCAGGACGGACGCCTTGTGCGGCGTGTGTGGTGGTAGGGCTGGCTGGCGTGTTGCTGGAAAGAATCCTCAAAGGGGCGAAGGTGTCCATCTGGTAAGAGAGGAGTGGAAATAGCAGCTGGCACGATCGAACCATGCCGATGGTTTGCTCTGTGTGTGTGTGTGTCTCTACTTTATGTGTGTGTGGAGGGTTCGCAACATCCAGCTTGCTCTGTTTGGTGCCATGATGGGTCTGGCGGGCTGCCTGGTCTACGACGGAGCCGCGGTGGCGCGAGATGGCTTCTTCCAGGGCTACAACGGCCTCGTCTGGACCGTCATCCTCCTGCAGGCAAGCAACCAGTGAGAACAAGGCAGCTAGCTACACACGGACATGACACAAGGATGGACTCCATCGCCTACCTGTAGGCTTTGGGCGGGATGGTCGTGGCGGCGGTGCTCAAGTATGCGGACAACATCTTGAAGTGTTTCGGCAACGCCACGTCCATCGCCCTGTCGTGTCTGCTCTCCTACCACCTCATCGGCGACTTCACGCCATCCCTTTTCTATGTCGTCGGCACCTCACTCGTCATCGTCGCCATGTACCTCTACAGCGGCAAGGACGATGTGCCAATGGCGGGGGCGGAGGGCGGCAGGCGGCGAGTGCGGCTGCCTGCCTCACTCCGGAGGTTCCTCAGACGGCTGCTGCTCGGCAAGAAACCCGGAGGCAGCGCCGCTAGGTCGGTACACCAATCACACACAGACCATCCATCCATCCATCCATTCATCCGTCGTGTGTGCCATGTTGTGTTGTCACCAGGCCTCAGAGTTATCTGCCCATGACGTCTGTCGAGTCCAAGTCCCCCCCTCCCAAGGTCCTCGAGCCCTCCAACCTCAACGCCGTCCCGCCCATCGGCACCACACGGGCAGCCATCAACGGCACCCACACCACCACCAGCCACCCCTCCTCTTTCACCCCGCCCCCGCAGATGGACACGAGCCTCACCTCCAGCACCCACAGCACGGTCAGCAGTGCGTCGAGCTACCAATATCACGGCGGCCAGAGGGACAGTGCCGACAGCGCCATCAGGGGCAGGGGGGACGAGTCGGCAAGTGGCGGCTTGCAGGCACAGCAGCAGCAGCAGGAGACGTCTGTGCTGCCGTCAGGCTCGCCCAGTTCGTCGTTTCCCAAATCGGTGAGCAAGAGATCCCATCGCACAGAACCTGACAGGCCATGCGTGTGTAACTTTGTATGTGTCGATTGTGCAGTCGTCATATTACGTGCCGCCGTGGATAGCGTCGCGGCCGCATCAGATCTGATTGATGGCGGCCTACATGGAAACATGCGAACCGAGATGAGATGAGACGGTTGCTGTGGGGTGTTTTTCGGTGCTGTGCTGTGGTGGTGTTGGATTTAATTAAGGGTGCTGGCTGCATGGTCTCCATGGGTGTGCGTGGACGTTAGTGTGCTATGTTGTGCTGACGTTCCCCACTCATTCATTCATCAGTCTGTGTGTGTATCCCATCCGCCAGCGTGTATGTCAAATCGGTGTCCAGTCCGCGCCACTAGAAAACAATCAGACACACTCAAGACACAAAAACGATTTCATCGGCACACCTCCTTGACATTATGCCGATGACACAAACATGCACCCCCCCCCCCACACAGAGAGAGAGAGAGAGAGGATAAAGGCCTAATACAGCACTCACTCACTCACTGACACCATCCGTCAGCATTTCACGCAGCGGTACGCAGCAGTCAGCCGCACCCCGCACCCTCACATAGAGCACACACACACACACGACGCTGCTGTGCCCTTCGGGAAATACTTCGGCGGCTGCAGCACACCATCACCACCGCCACCCCCACCACCAACACGGCACAGCAGCAACACCAGCAAAGAGTGAGTGTGCACAACAAGACAGACAGGACACCACCCGACAGCAATCGTCTCAGCTTGAAAACGGAGGCCAAAAAGACAGAGACGAGCAGCTGACCAGAGAGCACCCAGCTCTCTTGACGCAAAACTACCTGTTTCATTGCCTCGCTCATGTGAGCTGCAGCGATCTGAATGTCTGCCTCCCGTCCCGCCCCTTGTCGACCCACCCCACCGCCCCCCACTCGATGGCCGGCACATCCGTGCTGAAGCCGTTGTCGATCTCCCCCACCTCCCACTTGGCCGCCTCGTCCAGGATGGCCCGCTGCACCACCTCACGCAACTCCATCTTGCGGCCACCCACACCGCCCACCACAAAACACTGCAGCGGTGGCACAGGCACCTTGCCGCGCTTGTTGCCTCGCTGCTCATGCCTCGTCCCGCCGACCACCTCCCTGTTGCTGCTGGCCTTCACCGCCGAGAGAAAGAAGTGCTTCGCTGCCGCACACACACGCCGGGCCAGGTCGGTGTGTCGCATGCCGATGGCCTCAGTGGTGGCCGATGCCGCTGTATCCACATCGAAGGGGTATGATGCGATGTCCCAGCCGAAGATGGTGGACTCGTGTGGGCCGAATGAGAGGATGGATGGAGTGGGGTGGGGTTTGGCGCCGTCATGGTGGGGGGCGAGGGGCAGCAGGTGGGTGAGGACGGCCGCGAGAGAGCGGTGGGGGGCGAGGGCATCATTGACGGCATCCGTGACGATAGCGCCCACCTTGTTGAGCACCGTGGCGTACTCGTCCACCACCAGCTGGCGCTGACGGTGGCCCTCCTGTGTGTCTGTGGGGATGCTGCTGATGTCGCCGCCCGCCCGCAGCAGCGTCCGGATGGTCAGCTTGAGGTTGTCAAGCTCGGCACGACACTCCACCTTGTCGGCCTCGGACGTGTTGGGGTCCTGAAGCTGCTGGGTGAGGTGACTGAGGTCGCCGGCAGCTCTGGCGAGGGGCGTCTGGTGAATGCTGTTCTGTCTGTTGTTGATGTCCGCAGTGGGCAGCTTGCGGCAGAGGAACTGGGCCACGTGGGGAGAGCCCACATCTGCCGCTTTGTGCAGTGGCGTCCATCTGTTGTTGTTCTCTGCCGCGATGTCGGCGCCGTGCTCTGTGATGAGGTTGAGGTAGGCGTCGATGAACCATTCGGGGTAGCGCCCCCCCCGCGCTATGTGCACCAGGTTGTCGCCACTGGCATCCTCGTCTCGTTCGGTGGCGAGGGTGGGATCGAGCTCGACGAGGCGCTGGTACATGGACAGCAGCACCTGCAGGTACTCGTCGGGGGGCCGACCACGGGCATCGCGGAGCTCCAGCACCGGATGCCCGTGGTCCAGGTCGAACGAGTGGCGCAGACGGACGTGACGCGCCATGAGCACGTTGAATGCCGTCTCGTCACCGGACGAGACCGCCACACACATGGGTCTGTCCACGACCCAACTGATTGATGCCGCGTTGGGGTCGGCCCCTGCCTCGATGAGTGCCTCCATGACGGCCGACTGCTGCTCACCAGAGGGCCACTGGGGCAGGACGATGATACGGCCGCTCACGTAGTACTCGCGGATGATTGGGACGGTGTAGTCGGACTTGTTCTGGATGGCGAGGACGAGGAGGGAGTAGTTCCTCCACAAACCCGACGTGTTCCTGAAGTCGTCGCCGTCGGGCAGACGGCTTCTCAGTCGAGGCTTGACGTTGGGGTTGGCCCCCTGCCCGAGGAGGTGGGTCACTCGCTGTTTGGTGATGGTGCGATTGATGACGCCCACTGCCAGGTCCTTGGTGGCCTTGCTGGTGCCGCGGGGGAACACGGCCTCGATCTCGTCCGCTCCCACGCAGCCGTCCGGCACAGCGAGTGAGGTGGCCGCGACATGGTCGATCGCTACGCCTGCAGCACAACACCACATAGCCACCCACCACACGAGGCACACAGTGAGCGAACGTGTGTGAGCATCGCCTTCTCTGCCGTCTATCTGGCGTACCTTCCTCCTCATGGCCGTCGTCTATATCGCTTTCGTCGTCGATATCGATATCGCTGTCGTCGTCGAGGGTGTCGTCGTCCTCCTTATAGCGGTCGTCTTCCTCGTCCTCCTCCTCCTCCTCCTCTTCGTCCTCCTCCTCCTCCTCCTCGCTGTCCTGCGTGCCACCCACACACACAAAACCGAGATGGGAAGGAACGAGAGGGCGACGAGTGAGTCGCATATATCGCATACATCGACCGGCGGTGTACTGATGAATGAATGAGTGCCTCACAGATTCGCTCTCAGCTGGTGCCTGCGGACCCTCTCCCTCGACGGTCATCCCATCGCCCTCCTGCTTGCCTGGGCCTGGACATATACAAACATCGTCAGATTTGTTTCGCCGCGTCTTTCGTGTGTCGTTGGTTCAGCACTTGCTGACCGTCAGCCTCAGTGCCGTCCTGGTGCACTGCGTCGATGTCTATCATTTCACCCCCGCCGCCCTCCTGGTGCTCGTCGTCCGTCGCTGCATGGGCAGGAGCAGGTGCAGCGATGTGGAGGAGCTTGACGGGCGCCGCCCCACCACCAGTGCTGATGGACACAAAGAGGCAAAAGCAGTGCGTTTAGAGGTGGCAAACACATTGTGCTGTCCGTTACCTCTGAGAGCGCCAGACCACCTCGATGGCCACATTGCCGTCACCCTCACACGTGAAGGAGAGCTCATCTGCCACCTCGAGAGAGAGGGGGACGGCCACGAGAGGCTGGTCCTTCGTGACGGTCCGGAAGCGGCGCGCATGGTCCACGCCTCTGTTGACCCACAGTGTGCCCCTCGAACGGTCCGATGACGGCGCCCTGGTCTTGCTGTACTTGGTCAACGTCCATCAGAGGCCCCGCACCGCCCGAGTGCTGCGGCCAGTGCTCATCACCTGCTGCTTGCAGTGTGGTCATGATGTGGTGGAGCCCGTCAGATGCAGTGGAGGAGGAGCGCCCCTTGACGACCTAACGGAAACCGACAGGAGATGAACAAGGGCCCTTGCTTGTTTGACGACCGCCTTTCACTCCTTGTGCCTCTCACATACAGACCTTTTGTGTGTTCTCTCGACAGAGCCAGATCCTCACCACACAGACAATTGCTTAAGCTGACTGCGACAGAGAACTGGGACAGGCTGGGGCTCGCTATGCTGTCGGAGATCTGACGCTGACGTAGAGGACGTCGGAATCTAAACCTGGCGAAAGGCGCGTCAACAAACCCTTCGCTTGAAACCCTTTCTTGAAACCCTATACCCTCTTGATGTTTTGCCTTCCACCTTTGGCTATTTAGCCATTGTTATGACGCGCAGGCACTGCAAACAGATACAAGGGGTAGGCGTGCAGCCATGGAGTCAGGCAGACAGGCAAGGCAGAAAGGTAAAAAAGAGCGCATGCAGATCTGTGGTCCGCGGGGCAATGTCTCAGCACACACACACACACAGCCATACAGACACACACACGCATCGATCACCACACGCAACGCGGCTCTGCCACGATTAAACGATGAGCAAACAAACCGCTCACTCCTGAATGAATGGCTGGCTGGGCTGGGCTGGGCTACACTCCTCCCTTCTCAAGAGAGAGAGAGGGAGACACAGGCAGGCAGGCAGGCAGGCAGGGAAGCAGGCAGCCAGCACACAGACCGTCTGAGTGACTCGCAATGGCCGGGCCCCCCATGCGCAAACAAGAAATCTTCATGACCGACCCATCCAAATGTGGCCATCGGTCGAATGCTACCTGCCTGCCTGCCTGCCCCCTATCTAGAGGCCTGCCTGCTCTCTTGCGATGGCCAGCCAGCCAGCCATCCAGCCATCCAATGAACAACCAGTCAACTCACTCAACACACCGAACGGGGCCAGGTGGG